TTAACCTGATACATGTACCCTAAATGGTATAAAACAAATGGAGAAATTAAATACAACCAGATATTTCTATTAAGTCACCTTATGAGCAAGCAAGTAAGACACTTGGAAGCAGCCATAAATACTATACATATATATTGTTAAGATTATACTGTAATCATCATTTTTATGTGTGCGTATCATGACAACAGTGTTTTGATAATGAGCTTTAGATACAAACTTTCCATTTAGATATATTAATGAAAGAGTACAAACTTCAAAGCACCTGTGAAATATTGATGTATTTCAACATGGCATTGGCCACCTTGAACCTCAGCCAGTCACCTCTGCACAAAGGACTACACTGTACCCATTAAACTGCACATCAGAAAATAGCCACCGGCACAGTGGCAATGATGAATACATAATATCTGAGTATCTTATGGATCTGTTTGTCTAACTGGGACTATTAAGCTGTCCTTTCTCTCTCACACGCACGCAATGTTAAGACTGTCTGATTAATGATAAACTATAACAGATGCAGTATATTTACACACAGGCACCTCATCCCATTCCCAGCCCACGCTTCACTGACCAAATTAAGTTTCGTCCACAAAACCAAAGCTGCAGCCACTTTTCACCCAGTGATGGTGGCTGGTTAACTTATCTTGATTACTCAGCACTGTCAACAGATTTTCCACAAACTCTGTAGGGTAGGGTTCATATAAGGGCATGTGATATGGGCTAGAGTCAAATGTGTTTACTGTTATTATCGGCTCCAGAAAATATAACTATTTAAGACGACAGTATTTTAAAGGTATCTACCTACATTGCTTATATCATCATTTAAATAAATAAAGAGCGGGCTGAGTCTACATTAAAGCTTGTGGGGGAGTCATAGATGCATCATGATTTCTGTCATTTTATAATTAATTTTCTATTTAGTACATAGATCTGTTCTCAATGGCTTTTGATATAATAATACTGATGCGCCACCGGACCCATGTGGCACCTCACATTAACTCTAGCTTGGAGTATTGGTTCTAAATTGATTAATGTTATCTGACCTGTATGATATATTTCTTTTTTCCAGATACTGTCTACTTTCTCTCTGTCACCATTTTCTTTCCAACACCTGCATCAAAGTAACTTTCCCCTCCAGTCTGATCTTTTTGTTTTCTGCTTCTCAGCTCTTATTGACCGTAATGAAAACTGACGGCCTATCTGGCTCTAGAAATTCTATTACCAAAAGCCTTTTGGAGGTCCACTTACTTTCACAGCTTTGACACATAAACTATTCACAGGTAGGAGACAAACATGTGCGTTCTCATTCATGCTATATGTTTCTCTACAAAGAAAAATGCAGATATTGACTCAGGTATACAGCAAAAGATTGCAAACTCAGCAAGCCAGTTTTTACTAGTAATGACTGAAGGAAACATGTGATTGCAAACTCTTGCCCAGCACTTTCTGTATTCTGTTTGTACTCAATAAACTACACCTCAGCATATGTTGGTAGTCACACCCCAGGCAGAAGGAGGAGTGTCTTAGGGACGCTACTGCAGAGAGCCTAGTTGCCAACCCACTGCGCCAACCCTGATGACATTGTTGCTATGCACAATTCACAAGAGCAAGACCAGTCCTACTGTGAGTGACTCAGCTATTCATGTTAAATATGTCACATAAAGGTGAAAAGTATGATTTATGCCATTTTAATTTTCTTCGTTAACATGGGGGTTGGTTATGGGAGGAATTTTGTCAAAAAGTAAATCAAAAAAGTTGTATAGAAAATTATTGATGATACCGATCCCACCTTTCCATTTTCTTTTTCCTTTGACAGGAAGATTTCTTAGACATACGGTTTTTAGAAATTTTCAAACAGTAGTCATAAACTTATCTTTAGACACCACCAATTTTATTTTATGACAGTCACATAAGCTTGTTGGGTCTTTCCTTCCCAATTTGATTAATCTAAAGGATAAAAGAAGAACAAAATACTAATAATACCTTCACATTACCCAATCTAATTTATGTTTTTAATGGGGGAATGATTTTTATAAACACTTTCAGGGTAAAACTGTTGAAAATATTTGTTGTCTGTTCGAGTTGAAAGAATATTCACAGATTCACAGTAACAGTAATGCAGCTCTACTGCTTTTCATTCATGGCAGCTTGATACTTCAACAGTATGAGGTTTTTTAGGTGAGCATTTCCTCATTACATCCCCTTTCTTGAATATGATAATCAAGATGGAGTGAAAGGCTTAAGTATAATTATTTTTGGAAAATATTTCACTTGTTCTTTTATATTTAAAAATAGTCAACAGTATGTATTAAATTGCTGTGGGGACTTATATTTAAAGGACTGTGTAAACAGTTGAAACAGAGGCAAAGGTACAGTTTCTACATGAAAATGATACAGTATGTATATCTGATGAGGTAAAAATGGGACATAGTTCCTCTGCTTATCCTCCAATACTTAGGTCTGGACCAGAGGTTAATGGCACCATAAATAGCTGAGTTCAGTTAAAGATTATCATAAATAAAAAAATAAAAAAGAAGGTGTGGGGGATAAGTGCGCTCAAAGTGGTATTGGAAAAGAAAAAACAAATGAAAATTAAAGTTAAAATGAAAGGAAATATATCTTATAGGAAATATTACCTGAGAGAGATTTTGGAATTTAAAGTTAGCAACGATATTTATTATTTTGTTTTTTTATTCAAAACTGGCTGCTGTTTACAGCTGGCATTTCTGGGAGTCTGCTCACATTAGATCCAGTTTTTTAAAGTGTGCATACAGAAGATGGAGCCATTATCCTACTGAGCAGATTGCAGTGTCATAAAGGTCTTTAAAAAAATATATATTTTTTTCAATTCCAGTCTTCGAAGTGGCTGAAATGGCTGTCATGTTCACCAGAGTCATGCTAGGGGCCTGATTATTTGACTCAGGTGTGTTGAAGCAGAGGCAAAGCTCAAATGTGCAGGACATCAACTACGGGGATTGAAATAAAAGAACTCTGCTCTAAACCTAAATGGCTAGGTTTTTCTATCAAGCTGTTTTGTTATAGGACTGGAATGAAGAGTTGAGTAAATTTAGGGTTTACTCACTTACAATGAATTCCATTTTTCAAGTCAGCTCACAAGTCACAAGTGAATTTCTCCATTGTGAGATCAATAAAGTTATATCTAATCTAATCTAGCTAACAGTTTTCACTATGTTTAATGATGCTTGTCAGTGCAGAGCTCAGTGTTTTGTATTGGGCTAGAAGTTTTTGCCACGTTCATCACTTTGGGTTTATTCAGACATAATTATGTAAAAGTTTTTTTAGAACTGTATGATTTTTGTTCTCCTAAGTTCAACATTCATTGTAAGCTCAGGAACCCTTTTTATTCTATTCAGATTCTTTTTTTTCTGAGTTTCTTTTTTGGTACCCAATGCATTGTTTTCTGACACCTACTGCCTTTTCTTTCAAAATATTGTATTTTTTGGAAACCTAAACAGGTCCTAAATTGTACACCGTACTTGATATGGTTTTCAAATCAATTAATCTTCCTTTCATCCGATTAAGCCATAATGAGCTATTCTGGTGCATTTTAGGCAATGGCTCAGCACAATTTCATATGGGTTTTACTAAAAAAAATAGCTACAGTTAAATCATTCTAGTTTATAAAGCCCTTCAGTTTATAAAGCACAAGGTAGACAAATAACCAAAAAAAACAACAGAACAAAACCCCCCACACAGTCAATAAATATTGACATCTCGGTTCTTTAAGCTTTGATATTAAAAGTACATATAAGTATATTTGAAGTTAAACTACATTTTAAAGGAGGTAAATGGCTAAAGAAAAATATATTTAAAAGGGGAGAGAGGGACATTTTTAAGATGACAAGAAGAATTTAAAAAGCCTTAGAGGGAATAATTTTAAGAAATACTGTGAATGACAGAGAAAGGTTGAACTTGACAAATACAGAAAGAAATGTGGAGGAAAAAAGGTCTTCAAGACAGTCGGCATTAGAGGATGGGGCTGAGAAAAAGTTCAAAACAGAGAGAAGAGTGTGTATGCGGGGCAAAGCAATTGAGAGTATGTGAGAGAGACAGAGTCAGTGACAACCACATGGGAGTAGGGGAGGGTGTGTGCAGCATGTCAATACAAATGCTAAATCACTCCAGGGCTTTCCACCAGCTGAAATTTCAGCCTTACTTCAAAGTCAGGTGTAATGCAGAGAAAAGAGAAGGGTCAAGAGAAAGAGGAAAATAACAGATGTTTGCATTTTTACTCCTATTAAATGTATAATACTTAAACACAAAATCCACCTTATAATTTAGCTAATTCCTTTTCTCCTTTTTTGAAAAGTATATAGTAATATTTCCCCCTGCTGCTGCTGTTATTCTGTTTCACTTAACACAAAGATATCTGCACTCAATCTACACATGTATAACCACATGGCAAAACCTCGACTACTGCTTGCAGCCTTTAGCACTGGCTCCCTGAAGGGATACTTGCAAGCCTCTGTATTTATGAAGGTGTAATATCCTACCTGGGCTGCACTCGCAAATCCTCTCCCATCCCTGTAACAGGGTGGCCCAGGGGATGGATGGGCTGTTGGATGGATGGCTTTGAGAGTGCAACATGACAATTGAGAAACATGATATGACAGGTCAGGAAGCGTGAGGAAAGGGAGGGGAAGAAGGGAGAGATTGAAGAGCAGAGACCCTTGCTTCGAAGTACAATGTCTAAAGGGAAATAAAATGTGGCAATTTAAGTAAACCTTTATTTGTAAATCTATCATAATAAGTTATTTAATGTTTTTTATTTGTTTTTACAGCAAATACTTGGGGTTTTCCCTCTTTAGCAGACTAAAGTATATTCTTCATGTGATTGATGATGTTTCATCATATAGATACAAGAAAATAGGGGGTCAGAGGCCACATCCTGGAATCACAGAATGATGTAGTGCTTTGATATTTCTTTCAACGGGTCTCCAGAAACTCATAGGTGGAAGACAACATAAATTCAAGGATACATTCGTACACCACCTGATCTTGAACCAATGGCCAGAATCTTCTGCACAGGGTCAAAGGCCAAAGCTGTGGGCTGGTATGGGAATCCATGCCGGACAGTCTGCACAAAAAACAAAAACAAACAAAAAACACTCAGATAAAACTGATCTTTATCAAATATTAAAGATAATTTAAAATCCTCAGGTTTTTTCATAAAAAAACATTTTTATCTGCAGCTGAAAACAAATATAGTAATACTGTCTACCTTTTTCCTGTCTTTCCCTGTTTTTTGTGATATTTTACATTGTGATTGCAATTACAACAGTCTCCCATAATCCCTTTATAGAACACAACTCAATGTTGTACTGTATTTTGACCATATTTATCTATTTATTTTGCACTGCACTGAACCTTTTACATATCAATTTGCACTATGACTTTTAACTAGTTTTCATTGTCTCCTACACTGTCTACATTCTTGATCACTGCTGCACTTTGTAATTGGGTAATGTTCATTTCACTGTGGTAAGCTACTTACTCACTGTTGAAAGATGTATTAATCGAAATTCCGTATAAAGAGAGTGCATACAAGATGAAAATAAAATTGTCCTAACAGTCTGCTTCTGTAATGTCTGCTTAAAATCTTCAATCTGTGGTTAAAGAAAAGTATCCATCTATTTGTCCGTTTTCTTAGAAGTAACTGGGTTCAGGTTGCAGGGATAACAAATCTAGTAGGAAAAACCTAGACATTCTTCTGCCCGGCAGCTCTCACCAGCTCACTTGGGGGAAGTGCAAGGCCATCCCAGAATAACGATCCTGGAGCAGGTTTATGGTCAAAGAGTTTCCATCTAGTTGGAGAGGCACAGAAAAACCTCCAAAGGGAGGTGCCTGGAGGAATTTTGCCTATATGCCAGACTCTCTTCTACAGATTTCTTTGAATGATTATGAGCTTCACCTTTACTTTTGGCTCACCTAGATGAATACACTCTCTGAGCTGTCATTATAAGGCTTAATCCAAGTTGCAGTGGGGGCTAATTTAATCTGCATTGGAATGAAAATTAACTGCTTCATTTTTTAGCTTAACTCTTTCTACACCGCATCAGCCACCAGTAGCATTTGCCTTATTTTCAGTGACGCCAAAATCCATCTCTCTTTGACTGGTTCTACTGTACCCCTCTAACACTCATGACCAATACACTAAGACAAAAGAACTCTTGCATTTAAGGGCAGAGAATTACAGTAGACACTAAGCAAACTATTTTCCAGTTGCGATCCATGTATTTCAAGGCAAGGCAATTTAATTTGTATAGCACAATTCAGTACATGGACAATTCAAAGTGCATAACATATATATTTTTTTTTTAACCTGAATTAGATAAAAAAAAAAGAGAAGAGAAATAAAAACTGAATAAAAGCTAAAACATTTGTAAAACAAATTAATTCATTTCACCACAAATAAAAAAACAGGATAAAGAAATTAAAACAATTGGATGACAACCTTAAACCAATACC